ACAGAAAGGGGAAAAACAAATCGTTTAAATAGGGATACAGGTGGACCCATTGCAACAATGAGATGTACAAGTAGTTATGTCGAAAAATGAACTTTACAACTTTGGTGGGGGGGGCTGCGGGGAGGATTGGGTGGGGGGGGCTGGGGGAGGATGGGAAGGGATGGAAAGGGGAAACAAAGGAGGAGGCTACAATGTTTGATAAGAAATGTACTCATTATCTTGCCCATCTAAATGTAACCCCTCTGTACATTATTTTCACAAAAAAAAAAAATCCTTCAGCTATCTGTCCATGAATTTAAAGAGAAAGCTACATAATAAAACCCAAAAGGTTCTGCATGATCTTAGACTGTACATTGTCCAGGCTTTTGTTACATATTATACCTTGAATCTGTCTATACTTGAACACTTTTCCTGTCATTTTTCTGTTTTCTGCTTAAAATGACTGGCTATATACAATTCTGAGGCTATAAATCTATGTCTGTGTTATCAGCTACAGGGTATTATGCATTCAGGTGTTTTGGCTCCTATAATCATCTTACAACCAACTGGAGAATGACAGGAGACTTAAAAATCTTTCTTTCTTTCTTCCTTCCTTTCTTTCTTTCTTTCTTTCTTTCTTTCTATTCCTTGGGTCTGGTCATGGGGCCTGAACTCTGGGCCTGGGCGCTGTCCCTCAGCTCTTCAGCTCAAGGCTAGCTCTCTACCACTTGAGCCACAGCGCCAGTTCCGGGTTTTTTCTTTGTGCTTATGTGGTGCTGAGGAATCAAACCCAAGGCCTCATGCATGCAAGGCAAGCACTCTACCACTGAGCCACCTTCCCATCCCCATCTATCTTTCTTTTTTTTTATTATGAAAATACTGTACACAGGGGTTACAATTACATGGGCAAGATAATGAGTACATTCTTTATCCAGCATTGTAGCCTCTTCCTTTGTTTCCCCTTCCCATCCCTTCCCATCTTCCCCCTGCTCCCTACCCAATCCTCCTTTCTGCCCCCCACCAAAGTTGTAAAGTTCGTTTTCCACATAACCATATGTACATCTCATTGTTGCAATGGGTTCACCTGTATCCCTATAAACCTTTCGTTTATAAACGATTTGTTTACAAACGATTTTGTTTATAAACGATTTGTTTTTTCCCTTCCCCTCCACAAATTATAACGCCATCAATTACAGTGAAAGCAGGGGTTATGCCGTGGGGGAGGGACAAAGTAACAAGGAAATAATCTTATAAGTGTGTTAAAAAACAATCACATGAAATAAAAAGAAAACATTTGAATGCATATCTTAGGGTTCATTTCCCTAACATCAACTTATCTGACCTTTCCTGCGTGACTCAGACATATACTAGTTATTGCAAATAAGCGAAACCATGGGAACTATGTTTCTTTGGGCCTGGCTTACTTCACTTAATAGAATTTTTTCCAAGTCTTTCCATTTCCTAACAAATGAGGCAATGTCATTTTTTTCTGATGGAGGAATAGAATTCCATTGTGTAGATATACCACATTTTCTTGATCCATTCATCTACTGAGGGGAATCCGAGTTGGTTCCATATCTTAGCTATGGTAAATAAGCTGCAATAAACATAGTAGTGCTGGTAGCTTTGGTGTGGTCTTGTTTGTGAACATTTGGGTAAATGCCCAAAAGTGGGATTGCTGGGTCATAGGGGAGCTCTATGTGGATGGAGTCTTTTGAGGAACCTCCATAATGCTTTCTAAAGTGGTTGAACAAGTTTATACTCCCACCAACAATGCAGTAAGGTTCCCTTCTGTCCACATCCCTTCCAGCATCTGTTGTTATTAGAGTTCTTGATTCTAGCCATTCTAACTGGGGTGAGGTGGTATCTCAATGTTGTTTTGATTTGCATTTCTTTTATGGCTAGGGAGGTTGAGCATTTCTTCATGTGTCTATTGGCCATCCTTCTTTCCTCTTCAGAGAAGTTTCTCTTTAAGTCTTTAGCCCCCTTATTTATTGGGCAGTTCTTTCTTTGAAGATTTGTTGTTGGGGGATTTAATTTTTTGAGTTCCAGGTATATTTTAGATATGAGACCCTTGTCTGTTGTATGGCTAGTGAAGATCTTCTCCCAATCTGTGGGCTTTCTATTGATCTTGCAATCTATGTCCTTTGCCATACAGAAGCTCTGCAATTTCATGCAATCCCATTTGTCCAACATTTCTTTGATTTGTTGTGTTTCTGGGTCTCTATTAAGAAAATTTCGGCATGTGCCAACAAGAACTAGGGTTTCTCCTATTCCATTCTGTAATGTTTTCAGGTGTCTGCTTTGACTCTGAGGTCTTTGATCCATTTGGAGTTGATTCTGGTGCAGGGTGATATATAAGGATCTAGCTTTAGTTTTCTGCAAGTAGTTAACCAATTTTGCCAGCACCATTTACTGAACAGGCTGTCTTTCTTCCATTCTATTTTTTTAGCTCCCTTATCGAAAATTAGATGGCTAAAGTCTGTAGGTTCATTTTTGGGTTTTCAATTCTATTCCATTGGTCCTGAGGTCTGTTCTTGTGCCAAAGAACTAATTCTTATTCATTATTTTACTTCCAGTGCCAGTAGAATTCTAACTGCTCAAACACATTTCTTTAAGGAAATAATATATTTTATGAAAATTTGGGGAAAGGTTACAAATAAATATGTTAAATGGGCCTTTGGAGATTAGTGTCCAGTATTTGACACAGGATTAGAAACCCAGGCTCTAGGGTCAAACTATACAGACAAATTCCATTTTTTCTGTGTGAACTTGAGAAAAGTTTTTATTTTCTTGGGGCCTTGGGTCTTCATTGAGTAAATTGGCTAATAATTACATATTCTTCAAGGGATTATAAAAAGTAAATGATGTAATGGGTATAGACAATTTAAAGAAGTATCTGGGACATGGGCAAAGTGGTTATCTCTTATTAATTTCAACAATAAAATTATATATCCTATTTTATTTTAATAGCATTAGCAAATCTCACGCATTGTCCATGGTCTTTTAAATTGCTAAAATTTTATAAGTGCAACCAAGAATGAGAAAATATATAAATTTTTTCTATATGTCAGTATTAACACATAATAATAGAAATTTGTCATAATTTACTCAGAAGTTGTCAAAAAATCAAATTTATATACTCATTCAAAACAGTATTGATCATTAAGTTAAACAAGTATTCCAGATTCATTGGTTTAGGGATACATCAACTTAATATGTATGTGTATGTGTGTGTGTGTGTGTGTGTGTGTGTGTGTGTATGTGAGAGAGAGAGAGAGAGAGAGAGCATATGTGTATGTGAATGTGTGTGTGTGTGCTCATGTACAAGGCTTGAATGTGTGTGTGTATGTGAGAGAGAGAAAGTATGTGTGTGTGAGTGTGTATGTGTGTGTTCTGGTACAAGGCTTGAATGGGTGTGTGAGAGAGAGAGAGAGTATGTGTGTGTGTGAGTGTGTGTGTGTGTTCTGGTACAAGGATTGAAGTCAAGGCCTACTGAATTCTCACTGGATTTTGCACTTTGGATGGTGCTGTACTATGTAGGCAATTCCTTCTGTCCAATAAGAGCCCAATTTACTGTACTATAAAAAGTTTTTCATTGAGTATTTTTATTCTTGAAGCTTACTTTTTTATTGCAATGGATAGGAGAATAATGAAAGGGGTAATGTTGATTGAGATTCATTACACTCATAAACTGAAACATTGAATTGAAACAGCTTTGTATAATTAAAGATAATTTTTAAAACCAAGACTTAATCATCAAAAATATCTCTTCACTGAGAATAACGTGAGAAAAATATTTCCTTGAAATATTACTATATCCTACAAAAAATTTCATCAAACAAACTTTTCAGAAAAAACATTTTCCTAGTTATCATTTATTGACCAATTGTTATTTATTGTTTGACTATGCTATGTAGTTTGTAATCATTAATACATTCAATGTTCTTTCCTCTTATAAACAACAGTCCTTCCATTTATATGTCCCTAGTATATGTTAGATTTTTAAGACACTTTTGAAAACTTTTGTGTACTTTTTATGAGAAGCATAAATATATAGGAATTTACATGACCCTGATAGGAGAACATAAAGTTAGTGCTTCCAGATCAGATTTAGAAACCTCATTTTATTCTTTATTAGTGTTTGTAATAATAAGTTAATCCTAACTTCTGCCAACAGCACTGTCATCTGGACAATACTACTTTCTGTTTTTTTAAGTATTTCAATTTTATTAAATATTTTACTGTTTTAATATCACAGTTATAGTACCTTCACATGTTATACACATAAAATTCGTGTGCAATTTTTAGAAATATCAAATTAGGTATAAGATTTTGAAGAAATTATGTAAATGTGTATATTGACTTTATTACATGTACATCAAAGAAAGCAATAATTCCGTTGTACCATTAACTTGAAATCATTTATTACATGTTTACACCAATTCTAAAGAGAACCAAGCCAATTTCTCAAAAGAAAAAAAAATTAAAAGTGATTGTCATTCTGAAACTGTCAACAGACTCAAGACCAGGTGGTCAAATGAGCTATGGTTGATTTATAATATGAAAGTTTTGAACCTATGAGAAAGCTCAGAATCTGGTATGCGTCATCTCAGGTGCTTTAATTCTCTGAGAGAATATTCCTGAGAGCAAAAGGATTTGGTGCTAATGAAATGAAACCAACAACCAAAAAAAAAAAATGTAGTTGAGCCAATTACTGAGCTGTAGATTACAAACCTTCCCTACTCTTGGTCTGGCTGCTGTTAGAGCCGAGGCACTCAAGTGTCAGGGGACATGAGCCCACCCTAGCTGGTAGGCCACAAAAAGAAATCAGTGATAATTCATTAAACATATGTGTCTCTCTGATTTAGGTTAGAGTTTGTGAGGTAAGATTTGCATTCAGAACTGTGTAGTTCATAAAGTTCTGTGGACACTGTTTTTTTTTTAACTTTGCTTTTTTTTTTTTTTTTGGCAGTCAGTGATCAAAACTGATCATCCCCAGTTGAAATTGGATTTTTAAGTGCAGAATTAGTTATTGTGAACGTTACTGCACCTTCCAAAGATTTCCTGATAACTTGGGCCAGAACAGGTTCTTGAATAACAAGACTAACCAGATGCCTCCAAGTGCTTCTACCCATAATGCTTTCTGTTTTTTATAGAGTTTAAATCATCCAAGTTTTCTCAAATGGTTTACAATACGAAACATTCCAACAATACTGTTACCAGTAAATGGTTACAGAGATGAAGATACCAAATTTCTGGCATCTTCAAAAAGAATTAAATGATGATATACATACAAGTGTAAAATGTCAAAGCAAGGAGTTTCATAGGAGAAGGTACACTGTTAAGGGAAATAATAAGCACAAGGTAGGTGGCTCAAGAGCAAACACTTGATTAAGAAATTTTCAGTTTTCTAAGGTTAAGGAGTGTGGGAGTTCAGGAATGATAATTGGCTGATATTGGGGAAATTAGGGATTATGATTTAGTGGATTTTTGGAAGGGACCTGCACACATACAATGTTGCCATCTTATGGTGTAAGTAGTTGTATGAGACACAATCCATATGCAAGGAACCTTAAGGAAGAGTTTGTTGTGCAAAGGTAAGGCTAAGTACACAAAGGGCAAGTGGCTCTGTCTGGTTTCAAAGGTCCAAATATTTTCTAACCCTAAGGAGAAGTCTTCACTACAAACTGACCACCAATTACCTTATGAAATGGCCATGGTAGCTACTAGGAAGGAGATAGAACTCATAGGTGTTTCCCAGGATATGACTTGGAGAGAGTCAGATAGAGTTTTCTTCCCCTGCAGCTAATCTGCCACAATACTTCACATCCTGCATAACCACAATTTCTCCTAAGGTGAAATTCTTGATAGGTATTATACTTATTTTTTATATTACCTAATTTTGTTTGAACAACAAAAAAGTAATATGAATTATTGCACCTAACCTTTCAAAAGCTGTAAACAACAGTCAGCAGAAAGAGAAAAAAACAATCTAGACATTCAATGAAGCCTGAGATAGAAACAAATGAGAGAGTTGCAATGAAATATTAATGTGTAGCTTAACACTGTGATCCTTCAATTAATAAATGGAAAGAGGACTGCAAAACTAATCTGTTGTGAAGAAACTCTTCTGATGGTTAGGTGATTCATTAATGTTTGTTAAAATTTTTTTCTCCTAATGGATATGCACCTTACTGGAAGCACAGACAGGGTAGAAACTTCCAGTGTGTAAGTGAAGTTGGAAAGTCTAGAGCAATAACTGTGTTCTGAGTATTTCAGTCATTTGGAATATAGTGTTATTCTTCACATAAGAAAGAAAACTCTACAGATTAATCTGACGAAAATTGTAAACATTTTAGAAAAGAAAAAACTCATCTGCTGACTGTGATCAGACACTATTTGTTTTCAGAAGAGATTGAGGTCTTAATTATGTATCCTTGGTGCTTAGCACATAATATGCCCAAAATTTATTTATTGCATAATATATAAGACGTTCTCAAATGTACATACATTTTATATGAATACAGTCACTTAAATTGTGAGATACCCAGGAACTATAGCTAGCAACCAGAGTGAAATATAGAGTACTAGATACAGAAGACTATGTGATTGTTCCAGTTGGGAGAATTGTTAATAGAAAGAAAACTGCAACGAGTGTTTGGAGAAAAAAAGGAGAGAGAGTTCATGAAATAAGATTTTAAAGCATATAAAAGAAGGTTAGAAGATCTTCAATTGAAACTTCATCCAGATCCTGATGGCAACGAACTACTATCATGTGTGTGTGTGTGTGTGTGTGTGTGTGTGTGTGTGTGTGTGTGTGTTGATTCAGGGGCTTGAACTCAGGGTCTGATGCTATCCCTGAGCTTTTGTGTTCAAGACTAGCAGACGACCATTTGAGCAACAGCTCTACTCCCAGCATATTGATAGTTAATTGGAGAAAAGAATCTTATGAACTTTCTTGCCCAAGCTGGCTTCAAGCCAGGATCATTGGATCTCAGCCTTCTGAGTAGCTATCCGGAGTAACTAGGATTACAGGCATCTGCCATCTGTGCTCAGATGAACTATCTTTTTTGGACAATGAATTGTCTTTTTATTCTCTTGCTCTGAAAACTTGCATGAAGAAATTAAACCAAAGAATGTAATAAAACTTACAGGTCTCAGGGATTTCTAAGTAAAAAAAGAATAAAATCAGATATCCACTAATATGCTCAGACATTGTAGACCTAGTGGTCCTATATCAAAAATTAAGAATGGTTTCTAAAGTGATAGGGAAAACATCCACTGTGTTTTACACTTTTAAATAGAGGGCAGCAGACATGCTTTACATTCCAAAACTATGGTAGCAGTCTGTTTCAATGTGATCAAATAAATGCTGCTAGGATTCAGCAAACCTTAAACCCACTAAAATTATGATTACATTGAAAGAAAATACACAAAAACCAAATAGAGATTTGAGGGTTTTTTCATTAGAAGGAAATCTTAGTGCTATTAAATTCACAAATATGCCAATTTAAATACCCAATCCTGTGTGTCTAAAACACACAACGCATACACATAAAAGTACCTATTCTTTCCACATGTTAGTGCCCATGCATATCATAGTCTGGAAATGAAGAGAATAGATTCCCCTTAAACTGTGAGTCAGTAGGTGTTTCTTTACAGTTAACTTTAGCAAAATTCATACATAATAGCAATTAACAGTGATCTTTACTTGTTAACTCACAAGAAAACACCATCAAAACTGCGTTTCAGTTTCTGTACTAAAATGTAGAAAAACTGAAATACAAAAATATTGAAAAGTTAAAAATTCCTTAACATTTTATTCATGGTACCACTACCACAATTTACAAGGCAAAAAAAGAAAAAAGGCAAAGCTACAACAGATAAAAGACCTCAGGAATGTATATCTAATTGACACTACATCGCCTTAATCAATAGCTGCACTTTTTGCAAACTATAGCTATGACATTCTTGAACAAGAAAGTTTTGCTGTTTAATCTGCAGTAACTCCTCTGACTATGGATCACTATTCCTTCTATGGCAGATTGAAAGCTGCAGTTTACTTTGAGGTAGTCATCCCAAATGAATTCTGACAACTCCTCACTCTCTCTCTTGCTAAGAATTATAACCCCGTTTTCTGGTCTTTTTTTTTTTCTTTTTCTGGTCTTTTAAAACCTTCTGCTACTATATCCACCACTTCCACCCTCAGACCCATAACCATCATCATATGGACTGTCAGAGCTTCTTCCACCAAACCAGCTCCCCTTCATGGGACCATATTTGATCGCTGTTGTCCACTGTAATTTCCAGACTCATTATGTTTTCCACCACCACCATAGCTACAATCACTTTGGTTTCCATGTCCTTGTCCACCACCATCATAGCCTCCTCTAATACTGTAACCAGGACCAACACCATAATTGCCACCATCACCTTCAAATCCACTGTATCTACCATCAAGGTATCCATAGCTACCTTTGCTGCTACCACCTCCACCACCATAGCCTCCTCTTGCAACAAAATTTCCACCATGTCCAAAATTACCTAGACCACCTCCATAAAGTTGTCAGATCCACCTCCACGACCTCTTTGTGACTTTATCTTTTGTTTAGAGAGGGCCTTTTCACTTCACAATTATGCCTATTAATAGTGTGGTATTTCTGAATAATAATTTGATCAAATGTATCATGTTCATTAAAAGTCACAAAAGCAAATCCTCACTTTTTTCAACATAACTTCCTTTCCTTCCATAACTTCTATAGTTTCAATTTCAAAGTAGTCTCTCAAATTACGTTTTTCTGTATTTTCTTTAATACCATCAGCACCAAACATTTCTGTTAGATGGACTCCTGGCTTCACAGAATCCTCTCTAGAAACAACTCTCTTTGCTTCTATGACACGCCCATCAACCTTGTGGGGTCTGGCACACATGTCTGCATCCACCTCTTCCACACAAGAGTTGTCACAAAACTGAAACCCCTCGAACGTTTTGTCTGAGGCTCTCTTGTTACCACACAATCTGTGAGTGTGCCTATTTCTTAAAATGTTCTTTCAAACTATTATCTGTAGTTTCAAAGCTCAGACCACCAATAAAGAGCTTGCACAGCTGCTCTGGTTCCTTTGGATCATGGCCCTCCACCCCCAGGCGACGGTGGCTGGAGTCAGATAGTGGTGACTGGGTGGTGATTTTACTCCCCCTTTTGGTACTGGACTCGCTTCTTCCAACTCGAGCTCAATATGGGACTGAGAGGAAAGGACGTGAACTATCTTAATGTTGAAAATAAGCAGAGACTAATTGTTCTACTCTTTAAACATCTTTCTAATCTAATCTTTTCTATTGTTGTTAGTACTACTATGAATTTCCCATGATCTCTAATGAAAGTGATTTTGACAATCCACAATGAATGTAAGTTCCACAACTGCAAGAATTTTTATAAGTATTGTTCACTGTATAAAGCGGAGAACTTTTCACACTGCTCAATACATACTATACCTTCGATTGCTATTGTATCCACTTGCACAAAAAGTGTTTTGAGACATCTACTAGTCATGAAGTTACAGTTATAGAGGAAGAACAGTGAATACAAATTAAGTAATATCCCTACCTATGAAAAACATATTGTAGTAGGGTTACATATAATACCAAACATGAATAAGCAGTGTATTATGAGGCACAGCATTCTATGAAGAAAAGTACAGCGAGATACAGACACAGAATGAGTGAAAGGCTGGTGAACTTTTATCAGAACATTTGCAAAAATCATTTAGACCGAATTTTCAGAGATGAATTCTCAGTGGCAGTGACTTGCAAGCAGACCTTTGAATACAATAAGGAAGAAAGTGTGGAGAAAGAAATTTCCAAGGACAGGAAAGTGTTAATGCAAAGGCCTCAGAACAGGAACAAATTATGTGCATTTAAAGCAGAATATAAAAGGTAAGTAGGAGTTATCTTTTTAAGTAACAAAGAACTAAAACTTACTCACTTTGTCCAATAAATAATTGAATGCAGGCACACAGGTAGCTTATCTAACTTAGATATCTTTCTAACGGACAAATAGTAATGTAGTTGAAAACTCATATTTATTACAGGAAAATGTGTTGCACACTAATTCAATCAGAGTTAGAAGAAAAA